GAAAATCAAATTGATTTTGGTTTCACTGAGGTATTACACAAAATATTAAACAAATATTGACTTGCTTCTGTGTGCATACATGTACACATATAAGCAGAATAAATAAATGTGAAGCTTTCTGTTGTTCCTAATAGTTGAAATGTACTTTAATTCACAGTCTTTGCACGCTTTTAAGCCTTAGGAGAAAAAGTCAAGTGAGTAGTTATAGAGGTTTGTGTTCAGTTCTGCCTACTGTAAACAAAAACAGCACTTAAGTTAAATATTTGTGTTTTCTCTGCTGTTCATTGACTGCAGTCAAATACAAGTATTTTATTTCATAGGAATTCTTGAAAGAAATTCTCACCTCTGGTTATCAGTGTTAAACCAAGTTTCTAATTTACTCTTGATTTATGCTGGTTTATGAAAAAAAAAATTATCAATGTATTTGTGTTCCTAAATATTTGTACAAGAGACATTGATATTGAACTTGAATTTGACATAGGCCTCTGGAACTGGGATGCTTAATGTTTCTATATGATATTTTTCCTTTTTTTTTCTCCCGAATAAAAATGAGGTGGGCTAAATTCTTGACTTTAACTGAAGTAGTGAAATCAAGATTATTGACCGATTGAGTGGCAAACTCATAATTAAGTATAGAAATATTATAAATCAGCAAGACTAACCTGCTATTCCATTACTATATTGTCTGTTCTTAGCAACACTGGCTCTTCTATGCTACTTCCTAAAAACTGATTTTTTTTTTTTTAAGACAGGAAACTGTTAAGAATAACAGAAATGACATTGCTATTAACTAGTGGCCCCAAACAAATGTAATACAAACAATGTAACAAGTAATTTCTGCTAAGTTCAGAGTTTTTAAAGTATTCATCAGTATTTCAATCAGTGTTCATGTAGCTAATTATGTCAATGCATCTCCTATTAGATAAACAGTAAAAAATGTTTGACTCATCTGCAACTGATAATTGGCATATAAGTTTGGACTTTAGCAATATTTATTTTTAAAAAGACATAAATGATTAATTGGAAAGATAATGTAGACTGTATTTATTTTTCTCTGCTATAAGTGTTGTTTCAAAGGACAAAAAAAATATGTTTTTCCTATGGAAAAGAATAATTTTTGAGAGGAAAAGGGACTCTGGGAAAAAGTGGCTATGTTCCAAGAACTGAAATGAATTATAAATTTCTTACCTGAATAGTAAGACCAGTACTGAATAGCAGACCAGTGCTGTCTCCCCACCTTGTGTTTCCTTCTGTTTTTAAACACAACATGGCAGAGCATATATTTTTGTAGACAAAAGACTCATGGTAATACAAACTGAGAAGAAAATTATCAGGTATAGGAAATAAATAGAGTATTTATGTAGATTATGTTGGATTATTAAAAAATACATATTTCTCAAAGCATCCAACATATTGTAGGGGCATCCTGGCTTACAATCATGACAATATATCTTATTGCACAATATATCTTCTTATTATTGCACTGTATGAGAACAGAAGAGAGTTTTCCAAACTCAGGAAACCTTTTTTTCATATCATTTTCTTTCTTACTATTACTAAGGTATTAAAGGCCTTGAATATCATAATCTGTTTTGGTATTTTACACAAATATTACAGAAAATATTGGCAGCTCCATTTTCGTGCTTTAAATGTGCTTGTGTTAGGGATTAAATGTTCCTATCAAACAGTTATGGAGCAATTTTCTAATTATCTGAAACCATCTAGAATATGATCTCCTGAAGCTCCTAATTACACATTCAAAGCCAAACTCATGTATCGTGTAATCCTTCAAAAATGGAGAAGACCACACCAACAGTTAACCTTGCTGTGATTTCAGATGGGAAATAAGCAGAAACAAGTGAAGTCAAAGCAGAAATATATTCATGCCAATGAAGCTACACAAGAACATTTGAGAAGAATATTCATTTTCCAAAATTATTTGTGAGCTATCAGCATTCCTTGAAATTGAGATTTTATAGAGACTACATACATGCAAAGTTGAATTTCTCACATACACGATACATGATGCTGTCTGCATGGAACCAGCTGAGTATCTAGGCATCAAGTATGTCCCCTTTTGGAAAATATACCCAACAGCCAAAAACCACTATTACGCAGCATTATTTTATATCAATTATTTATGTATAACTACGTTTTTATTTAAAATGAAAAAAAGGAAATAATGTCCAACAACCAACTAACCATAAAACAGGTAAATTGGCTGTTAGAGACACATTAAGAGCTTATTTTCATTTTTATTTTTTTAACTTTGTTCTGCTCTCAAATAAATATTGACTTTCATGTCATATCATGTCATAAACAATGACTGTCATATGACAGTCATTATACCCTGGAGTTTGGTTCATTACAAATGACGCAGATAGATTTTCTATTTTTTTAAGGTTATACAATAGCACTTTGCCTTTGGGCTGGGGCTGCTGGCAGCATTACCATGCACCAGTTGTGGTGGATGGGAAAGGCTGGTGAAATCTCTCCAAGAAAGCTGAATCAGCCTATACCCACATCTTAGGGATGGCCAAAGAGCTCTCACATGAAAATGCTACAGGCCAAGGCCAGATGTGGTCCAGTGACCTTCACACAAAGAAGGTTCATAGTTCATCATGACTTCTCTAGTTAGGCAACATTACATCTGAAAAAAAATCTGCAACTAAAAAGACTAGCAAAATATGTTGTCTTCAAGAAACCCCCTTCAAGGTTGGGTGACCATAAAATGGTCTACAGGAATTGGTCCAGGAAATTCCAGATAAAATTAGAATGGACCAACCTATTACTACAGAATGATGACAAGAATACATTGGTACCAGGAGAGAAAGGGGCAAAAAAACACTAGAAAAATGTGCAATATGGAGTGTTTATAAAAGCTGCACTTAAAAAACACATACAAAAAATAGCATTTAGTCTCAATTTAACCTAAATACTTCAATAACTTAAATACTCAATACTTTGGTAAAGACAAATCATGCTAAAAGAACAAACATTCAAGCCCAGGGAAGCAGCATAAGCTAACCAAGAGCATTCAGTGAAGGAGAAACAAAATGTAACCAACGAACATTTCCCAGATAAACATGGCCATATATTTAAAGACTGACAATTCTGCAAGTCATATATTTGCACTGAAAACAGTGTCCTAAAGAGGCACTAACCAACACACTGGCAACACCAATCTCATTCCAAGTTGCAAGCGAGTTTGCTGCTCTTGCATCGTGCAGCCCTTCTGACATTGGTACTTCCACTTCCTTCAGGATGATATTCATGGAAGGATATTGGCACTTCTGAGGGCTGTGGAGACATTTCGTTTCACCAAGTAAGGACCTACATATCTTTGAAGCATGGTACTGCTGATTTAGAAACAAGCTTTCTACTTATGTTATATGAGCAATGAAACCTATCCAAGTACATCAATGAACAGATAGACTTAAAATAATGCATTTTTTTGTTAGCCAAATCCTTCCTCCATTACTCTCACTACGTAGAATCTCACTCTTTGAATGAGTGAAAGGAATTGAAAGAATAAGTTACAAAATGGCAAAATTAAGCATTTATGCTTATACCTGCAGGTATACTTATGGTCTAGATACAAGTAAGGTATGAAATGCTTCTTTCTCTCTACTTCCAAGAAAATAAAATCTGCATTCTGCATCTCCATTCTCTGCTGCCAGCTGAGTGACTCCAGGGTGAAAATATTTCCTCTCTCACTGCTAGCAATTGCAGTTGCTGGAGAATTGCTTTTTCAGTACAATATTTAATTCCCTACACAAGAACCTAAGGAAAATTACCTGATTTTTTTTTTTATGGTTTAAAGCTAACTGAAATCAAATATCTACTCCTCTCCCTTTCTCCTTACTAAGGACGGACTGTCTTTGCCACAGATGTGTCTGCACATGTTACAGTTTCTTGATCTGTGATTCTGTTGCCCCGTTTTCCCTCCCAAATTACCCACATGTTTTCCACTAGTGTGGAAAACTATGCCCATCAGCAGGTACAAACATACTCCAAATGCAGACTTGAGGTGAAAACCGGGATCCATTCAAGTCGGTGACAAAATTCCAATGGTCTTCAGCAGTCCGGAATTTCACACTTGCTATGGATGGAAACCTAGAAATCAGGTCACATCATGGAAGTATGCAGCAAAAGGAAAATGAGAACACAGGTAACACTATTCTTGTTTCAGGCCTTGATTCTTTAAATCTTATCTGTAGTGAAAGCTTACAGGGAAGCTTACGTTTAAATGTTTTCTTCAATGTGAATTCAAAGCATTTTAGGAGTTGGTGGCAAAATTAAAACAAAACTTGATAAAGGCCAACAAAGTAGCTTTACCTTAGGTGTCTTCAGGGTCAACTTGCATGCTTCAAGTCCTTTGGTGGATCCAAAGAGAAAACCTTTCAACAGCTGTGCAGCTATGAACCAGCTTTGCTGCCAAAGGGTTGTATATAGGAACCACATCTGCGGATGCTTGTTTGGCCACTTCAGCCCTTCTGAGTTTCACTTCTTCACATCCATTGCATGTTACATTAATGATGCTGTTTGGTTACTTACCGTCATTTCAACCAGCCATGCAGCACTGTTTTGGTCACATCATAAGGAATTTGTCCCACTGCAATGTGTTACATCCGAACTCTGTATCAGGAATTGATTTGGTCAAATTACATTTATATCACAATGATTACACGAGATCACCTTCACATTACCCATTGCTTCGAGTTATCTCAGCTGGGATCAGGAGATATGCACCAGTAGAACTCAGAAAAGCAGCTGACCCACTTTTACATTACAGCAATATTAATAAATGAGCAGATACTCTCTGAGAGCATATCCTGCATGTTTGTGAGAGAGAGCTTCAAAGTTTTGTCATATGCTGTTCCTTTCATGGACCCCTAAACCAAAAATAAGCAAACAAACCCAAAAACCCTCATATGATGAAACTAGAACAAAAATGTAATGTTTTAGTTATGGTACATGTTTATAACAGGACAGGCAACCATAATTTAATCTGTATTGTCCATATAAAACATTTATTTTTAAGCTCTATAATGGTATTATAGAAATACATAGAATATTTGATAGAGTGCATTTAGTGTACTCACTGTGAAAATAAAACACATTTATTAAGACAGGTATTCTTTATGTCCAAACTTTTTTAAATATATGCATGTCTTTGCTTTGCAGTATTATGTTACTATGAAAAGCAAAATACCAATATATTATTCTCTGCTCCTCACCAAAATCTTCATGTTCAGATTTCCCTGGGCCATCAAGGGTGCTCACCGCTGTGAAATACTTTATAAAAAGAATCCCAAAGTACTTTGATTTGTAGATTGCTTATATTTGTTTGCATTCATGTCTAGTGCACATAGCTTGCCGCTCAATTCTCCACGTGCCTTCTTCATAAGTGCAGTGACATATAGTGCATTCATCAGTTTTCACCTCTCGGCCTGCTGGAATGACAAGGGTTTCTGCAAAGCAGTTCGGGCCTAAAAAAAGGAAAGATTTTATTATGTGACGCCTATCGCATACTCGCACCCCGTGTAGTCCAGCTGTAGTCTCAAGCATGGAAAAGCTAATGCAAAGTAAGCAACACTGGGCATGTGAAACGAACGCGAGCATCGCACCTGCAAGCACTGTAGGCTGTTGAAGAGGTGGCTATAAAGGTTATTACTTTCCCTCATTTTGGAAGTGTCATATTCTGTGTAATATTCAAAGTATCAGAGTAGTTTATTTTCCATTTTATGAGAAAATATTCTGCTTCCATTAGAACTGAATATCTACAGCCTTGTCTGTATGATAACACTTTTCATATACAAAATGAAATACTCCATTTTATATAAGTTAGCAGACATACAAACTCTTTCTTTCACAGCACACCGTAACAAATTCATTTCCAAGGATCAGGCAGAACAAACCCACAGCAGCACAATCACAAGACAAACGCGATCCTTTCTGAAGATGACAGCCTCACATCTTTCTGCAGCAGAAGGCTGCAAGTGCTGTATCAGCTCTAGCTCCATGTTAAAGAAAATCCTTGAAAAGCCAACAAAATACCTTTAAAATACACAGGCACCAACAGCACTAAGCCCTATACCTTCCAGATGTATATATTGCCATCTCCTCCCAGGAACATGGCACTTGCCTTGAGGAAAAACAGAGATCAGCTCCTCCAGTGGAGCTTGTCTATTTAACAGCACCGAGCATCTCTCAGAGCAGGACACACGGCACCGACTAGCAGGCATTGAACAGAGAAAGCTGAAACTCGTGACAGAAGAGCGGTGCACAAAAGCTTATCAACCCCTTTGCCAAGCAGAGAAATAAATCACAGACGAGGCTCAATCTCCCACTGCCAGTCATCAAGTGTAAGAACTAAGGCAAACGTTATGGCTTCTTCTTCTAAAGCAATTTAATTTTTTTTTTTAAAGTGCCCTCCCTGAAAGCCAAAGGCAGACACAAGCTGCACTTTGTAAAAAAGTACAAACCAAATGGCTCAGAAATCAATTTTAACAGTTCTCAGATCATGCATTTTCTGCACTGACACAGCAGCCTGAGAAGTACATGCCATGCTGACAGTGACAAAGGTCCTTTCCACTGGAGAGTCATCCCTCTTGAAAGCACCCACAGGACTTGCAGAAGTTGGGTCACCACGTTACTTCTCTCATACTTGGTTCACCATCTTCCAGCAGCAATACTGTAGACTCCCTAACTCCGCTCATCTCATTAGCACTTTGAAAGATTTCTATTTCAATTTATAGAGTTCTCGATATTTTTCAGTTAAATACAGTATTCTGTATATACATTTTTCCAATGTACAATATACACTCTATACCAATATACATTTTTCCATCACACCAAGATGGGTTGATCCCCTCAGAAGAAAGAGAGGCCCTGATATTTTGCATACTGGCCTGTAATAGCCACTTGGTTTAAAAAGCTGTGATAAGAAATGTTAACAAAGTATTAAAAGTGGAATTTGTTTTCCATGGATGATTTCAGACCTAAAGAACACTTGAGATTTATATAAAACACTATTTAAAAGGCAGAAGAGCAACATAAATGATGTTTTTGGTATAAGAAATAAAACACAAAGAATGAAGCAAAGTTAGTGCAGCAAATGTAATTTCTTGGGATTCTAACCCTAAATGCTCTACTCTCACTTAGAAGTATTTTAATGCCAAGTGTAACTTTCTTTCTTAAATCAGAAAAGTATTTAATGCAAAGACAGTGCAAGTTAGCTCTAAATTCTTAAACCATTTTAATATAGGTAAAATAATAGTGTTGTTAAAAAGGTACAGAAAGAAAATAACTAGAAAGGGAACGCTACAAAAATAAGCAGCAACAACATGATCAGGTATTGAGCAAGCTAGATTTTTTTTTTGTATATGGCTGTTCTGCAGAAAATTACCTTTTTGGGGATCTACATTTACACGCATCATTATTGTAACTGCACATCCTAGATATTATTCAGGATGGCAGTAGTCAAGTTATTATTTGAATGCAAGGCATCCTTACCTTATATTTTCCTTTGTGCTCTTAGAAGCTAAATTTAAGGAAGTTTTGTGAATTTAGTATTGTGGTTAATGTTACAGAAAAGGTCATCAATGAAAAGGCTGGGCTAGCTATATTACAGCAATGCTTCCATGCACATAAAGGCCCATAAATGCCCATAAAATACAGTGTTCTGTGCCTGAACACAGAAAACAGTTCTTCAGCCTTCCTTTCATCATTTCTCTGATTCCTAAGACATCTTTTTTTAGGGAGAAACCTGACGTTCAGCCTCAAGCCTGAGTTTTGAACCTCACCAGCTTTGGGCTTGGGGTTCCTCTGCAGCCCAAGCTGCTGCTTACCACTCCCTTTTCCCCCACAAAAATTGGCCTTACCCAGTTGCAGGTGCCAAAGGAGAGCCCAGACTGCAGGTGGCTCTCAGACACCTATGGGACTCCAGCAGCCACCTCACAGACCTGCCTAAGAGAGGGCAGCAGGACCCAGTGAAAGCTGCCACTTGGGCAGACGATGCTGGTGAACCACCTAACAAAGCCCCATGCTACCTCCCTCCAGGAGGGAGCCTGGTAATGAAAGGATGTGAAGCAGACCCTGCAAGAAGAAGAAGAGCAAGTTCTCCATAGGCCACTTTGAACTCAACACGGTCATTTTTCCCACTCTCCTCAGAGGGGGAGAGAGAGAGAGCGCTCTCCTCCAGAATCAGCCTGCATAAGGTGTCCTGATGGCATTTGCCGAACCTGCAGCCTTACTTTAACCCAGGCCATTCATATGGATGCAGTAAGTTTTGCAACTTCTTGTCTCAAAAGGCAAGGTATTTCCCAAGTTTTAAAAAAGTTTGCAAATTATCTGCCTTAGGACATGACAAGCATCTCAAGATAAACCAGGGCTCTTCTAATCCAAAGTGCTGCTTGATTCTCCCAGTAAATATTTTGGATGCAAGAGTATTGAACACCAATAGTAGGGAACACAGGAAAGTGAAACTCAGATCCCTGGTTTGCAAAGCAGGTTGTCGTCATTTTTGAGCTTGCTGTTATCATCACTGTTCTGCTTGACTTCAGCATCTGCTACTGATTCAGTTTGACCCCATTTGATCCGCGTCTGGTCTTGGAAGAAGGTAGCGGTGCTGTGCATCTTCACACAGATGAAGATGTCACCATCTCACTCTTAAACCTGGCAGAAAATTCAATATGACATATTGTACCAATTCCAAGTGCAGTGTGAAGCTCACCATGACAGCATTTGCTTTTCCCAAAGTTTCCCCTGGCACTGTCAGACTCTGCTTGAGCCCAGTCACACTGGTGTCAACACAGAGATCTGTGAACATCCTCATTTCCCACCCTGAGCAAAGGACTGGGTTTTCCCATGACTGAACTAATGAGTTCTAGCTTCCAAAACAGCAGCGATATTGGCACCTCAGCAATCAGCAGAGCATATTTGGTGGTTGATTCATTCAGACTTCATAACTGGGTTCTCCCTCCTTAAATGCTTAAAGACTTAAAAAGCTTAAGAAGTTAACACCGTTATTGGGGGAAATGTCACCATGGCTTTTTGCCGCCTTCTTTTTCCTCCCAAGTCCTCATGCTGGTAGCGTGAAAAGCACCCAGTGAGTTACATTTTATGCTTCAGCATTGATAAATGCAACAATTTAATTAAAATGCAAATTCTGCTATCTCCCAAGAAAACAGCCGATCCCAATTATCAACAGCGAATGCCCAAGCTGCTCACCTCCGGAGGCAGGAGAGCACCGGTAACCTTGGCAACCCTGCCGGTGGGCCCGGGAGCACCCAGGCCTCTCCTGGCGCGGAGCCGCGGCCGCCCGTGCAGCCCTCACCGGCTCCGGGGGCCCTGTGTCTGCCCGGGCACGTGCTGCCAGCAGCTCCCATACACAAGGTGCACACAAGCAACTCGATAAACCACACGCCAGCTGGCTGTTTTTGTCAGGCATGGAACCACGTTATGGACAAGCTGCTCAACTGCGAGTCAACATGCTTGCCCGGAGAGTAGGTCAGGGCAGATTTTTGCCAGTTAGAACCAGAGGGACAAGCCCTGTGATACAGTGCTTTTATGCAAGGCTTCTTTGGGCTTTGGCTTTAAATTAAACTTCCTAATGGCTGCCCTTCTAATAGCTCTTTGCAACAGTCAAGCAGATAACTCTTACAGTCACTGACAGCACACCTATCTGCTGCGTACTTGTGCTATAGTCATCGCTACGGTATTTGCAAATGACAGAACCTCAACGTTTAGCTTATCCCCTTTATACTCGCTCCTAATTCAATGGAGAAATTTCCAGTCCTTGCACATAAAAAAAATGAATCCTAGACTTCATCCTGAGGTCATGATGTTATATAAGAAATAACCACGCTAGGTCAGACCAGAGGTGCAGCGGCATCTGAGGAGATGCACAGGGAAGGAGATGCACAGGGAAGTGCATGGCCACAAAAGGAGATGCACAGGGAAGTGCATGGCCACAAGCATTGGTTCCTAAAATGCACACCCAGCTTCCAGTGTTTTCTGAACCAGGGAATTCAGAAGTGGCTCTTTAAATGATTTCTTCTTCATTAAACTCTCCAACAGGTTCCTGAACCCAGGCAAATTTCTACTAGATGCAGTGGTAAGGAGGACCACAGCTCAAGCACAGTGTACAATAGTTTGCTTTTGTTTGCCTGGCTCCTTCTAATGGTTAATTATATTTGCTTTCTTCAAACTGCTGTCCTGGAAGAGGCAATAACAGGCTAATTTCTAGATGTTTATCATAGCAACCCTCCCTCTCATCACTTTTTCTGCAGCCTGAAGAGTCCAGGTGTGTACCTTTATCCTTGCTGTCCTCTTCACATGCCTTCCTTTTCTCCCAAATCCTTTTTAGGGTCTGAAGACTAGCCTGGCATGCCATATATTTCAGAATATTTCAGAATATTTAAGGTTGGGAGGGACCTCTAGAGATCATCTAGTCCAACCTTCCTGCTCAAGCAGGCACACCTACAGC